TGAAGGTCCCATATCTAGGTTCATCAGAAGTGATATTATAAAGGTAAATCTTGACAGCAAAGATCACTTTTGTGGTATGCTGCGGAGACGGGTCTATCAAATGGTCACTTTAGGTTTAACAGGTTGGATGGAGTTCTTTGTAAGGTCTTGCCTACTGTGAGGTGGTCTCCACAGTGTGCTCTATAACCATAAGTTGATGGTTTTAAAGTAGGAGATAAGCAAGTAGAGGAAGTTATGTTCTCGTACCCAGCAATAGGCACGCCAAGGGGTCACGCTTGGTGCCAATCTCTCTCGAAGACGAATGCTGTGCAAGAGTGGCGACGAAATTTTACTTTCAGCTTTGGCAGCATAGCCCGTTGGCATCATTGTGATCAAATCTCTCAGTGGGTATAAGTCTACTTTCCCTCAACTAGTGAGTCATTTGTAAAATCTGCAGTGCGGTGATGGCTAAAGGCGAACTCGATTAAGTAGGTCCTTACATTTGTCTGTTAGGAGGAAGGCATCATTCAATAAGGGGACATGTATCGGATTCTAGTTTCCACTTCTCCGCGGCGCACATCTTTCTAACACCCGAAGTAAATCAAGAGGATAAGGGGTTTTTCACGACTCGCACGGCAAGCTGGAGCTATTAGCGTGATGTAACGGAAGTACCATAAATCGATGGGATGAGGTGTAAAATCTAAAGTTTTGACGTTGTCACTTGACCAGATGAAGTATAATATCACCCCATGATCACAAGCAAGGAGGTATTCTACCACCAGCTTTATAGACTTTATGTGGTGACAATAATGTCTCATGTCGAAGTTCGCTTCAAGAGAATTGGGAGAGGAAACACTTCAAATTTTGTGTATTTCAAAAAGTTTGAGAAAATTATTCTAATGGTAAGTCGGTGACAGCACGCGCTAGGTGAGGTCTTACTTCGTCCACCAAGAGGCAAAACATGGTGTTTCTAGCATGTGGATAATGGTGATGGATTCTCTGTGCTAGTTTTTCGTGGTTTCCTTGTTCTAACGATTTGTGTAAATATTAGCATTTTTCTCAGGATAAGATTTTTAGGGGGCGGATTCTGGTACTTGTTTGCATGATGCCTTTTTGTCCTGCATGACTCCTCTATTAGGTAAACATTCCTAATAACTTCAATGATGTTCATTGCTAGTCTTAATTTTTATGTTAAGTTTTTCTAGTCCGATTTTAAAAACCAATTTATTTGCGAAGACTAGTTTCCATTTTCTAGTTTCTTCCATGGTTATTTATAGTGTGCATTAATTTAGTTATGATTTCAACGCTTTGGACGAGCGAAACTGAAGATCTTTTAGCATGACAGTTGTATGCTGAAGCAATATTTATCCATACAATTTTTTCCTCCATGTTCGTGGCAATAGTTACCAATCTTTTCCTTCAACTGTGATGGTGTCATCACAGTTGACACGGCTTCACTAACACTACCACACGAGAACTTGTTAGTTTTATAATTCTCTACCTTTTAATCTGGTCCT